AGTTTGAACACTGAAACATTGAGTAGTATCATTGGGACTTTGATAGTCCTTTATGCTTCACGTTACCCATGGGATGTTCTGACTGAAGGCAAAGTAAATCAAAGGAGGTCTAAAGAATAAACTTAATTCAAAATATGTTTTCAGTAATGTTTTCACAAATTTTGGGACAGACAGACCAAGCAGCATTTAGGAAAATCTGGGTGGTTTTTTGGTTTGATTTGGGTCCCGTGCTCCCTGCCCTGTCCCAAAGATAGAGTTTTATTTTTGACCAAAAGAAATTTAAAACATCTGACAAGGAATATTAACAGTCAAGTGAGGCAAAATGTGTGCATACAGGGTGGCTGTTACTGTTGTTTATCCTTTGTCTTGTAAGCACTGTGTCTTGGGAGAGTGAATAAATAAAGCTGTGTTTCCAATAGCTAATCTGCTAGTCACAGAGTCCAAAAGGGAAGGCTTGTAGATGCCAAGCTCTATTGGGATAAGAAGCAGAGAGGAGATATGTGGGATCACTGGGAAGCAATCCCTAACAGGGAATTGCTTCAGATGCAGATGCCGGAAGCTAGACCTGCCAGTATCTTCTGTTTCATAATTTGTCACAGTTTGCCTATGTTTTTGACAGGTGGCATAGTTGTTTCATCATACCACTGTAAACAGAGAGCTGTAATAGATTAACTTTATTCCTTTGCTTTGTTCTTGATTCAGTGATATGAGCAACTGCAAGTGGAAAAATATTTTGCTAGCTGTAGGGATAAAGCAGAGTTCTTTAGAATTGCTGTCCCAAGCAGCTTATTTCAGTGGGGACTGCTCATCTGCTTAACAGGACTGAGGCCAAAATAGCAATGATGCTGTCCCTACTCCTGCAACAAAAATAATTTTCCTAGGTGATTTCTTTATGGAGAAATCCTTGTCCTAAATGAAGAACTGAGCTCCTTGTTGCATCAGAAAATTCCTGGATTCTGAATTTTCTCAGTTACATTTTAAAGGATTATTTAGTTTTGAAAAAAAATGGTGTTGTGCCATATATTTTCAATTGTTACAAAACAGTGTAGGAAAAGCAAGTAGTATTATAGTTCAGTTTGGTTTACAGATATAAGCATTCATGTTGTTTCCACACATAGGTCATACATGTTTTTTTATTCTGCTTGAGGCATCAGCTAATGAAAATAAATATTTGATACGTGGCTGCCTCTTCACCCACTAGTTTAAATGTTCTCTATGCTTTTATCAGTAGACTGTTATCTGTTGAACTTTTGGTAGTTATTTGCACCAATGAAGCTGCAATTTTCTTCGTAAAGTGAGAATCTATCTTCTCAGATTTAAGCTTGTAGTTTGTGAGTTTTCTTTGTTTTTTTTTTTTTTCTTCAGTGTTTCAACTGAAAGAGTCCCTTTGGGTTGCCAGCATAAAGCTAGGAAATGTTCAGAGGAATTCTGTAAATAAGTGAGTTTAAACAATTGTAGTGTCTTTACCTATATAGACTGTGGAAAGGAGCAGAAAATTAGCAGTCTAGAGCAAAAATTAGTAGTGTCTTTTATTTTCTGGACATGAGTAACAATTGTGCATGCCTCTGTCATCACGAGATGTGTATTGTTTAGGGGGTTTTGTTTAGCTATCCTCTTCTATTCCCAGAGTTTGTCTGGCAGAAAGTTTTCCACAGGAAAAATTTCTCTGAATAAGGCCTATTCTGAAAAGTCTTTAGTTTTTTGTACCAAGTAGGTTGCTCTGCATCCTTCCTGTGTTGATTTAAAAGTTGTGACTTTCTATTAGTCCTCTTTGGTTTATCTTTTTGCTTCAGTTATTAAAGCTTTTGGAAATATGAGTGCACATCATTTTTAGCTCCTTATGTTCTGTTACACATTACTAGCAGGAGTGCCTCGTGCAATCTTCTGAATTAACAGAAAGATTTAATCCAGGCACTGCTAATCCAAGGAAATCTTACAAATGAGTAGGCTTCATTTTTATGTAGTCTGCTTTATGAATCTTTTTAAAGAAAATGAACTTGCATAATATCTTTTTGAAGCAAACCTACCAAAAACACAGTATGTCTTTTAGCAGAAGAAGAATTGTAGTATTAATTGATTCATTGGTGTTCTTAATGATAAACAAAGTTGTAATCTCTCCATCACATTTGTGATTATAAATCTCAGCTGAATTCTGATAATAGGAACGAGCACCTAAAAGATGTTTTTTTAAGGCCTTTATAGGGTCAAATAATGTGACTATCTCAGAACTGTTCATGATTTATGCTGATCAAAGCTTCTTTTGGACTCAAAACTTCTGATGACCAGCTGTGCTTTATAAGGAGCTTCAAGGGGCATCTGCTGCTAATTGTTAAGATGGAAGATCTGACAGGCAAAATGTAGTTTTCCTTTAACCTTGTAGTTCACTCCTTCTTTCCCCTCATCTATCTACTGCTACTCTTAATTGTAGCATTGCTGGTTTGTCAAAAAATTACTAGATGAGCTAATTTTTCTATTTCATTCTGTTTTTTTCAAAAGTCCTAGAATAGCCAGTTTGTCTCCTTGCTTAGTTGTTCCTTAACAGTATTTGAGTTTTAACCTTGGCTTGCCTATCATTGTATTATCTTTTCTCAGAGCACTCCCATTTCAATATGTTTTGTTAAGCTAGTTTATTCTTCCCTTCCACAGTGGACTCTCTCATCAGTTTGTATAACCCTTTTGCTAACTCACGTGTATTTTATCAGAGGTCTCACACCTTCCAGTTTTCTGAACTTAGTTTCCCTTTTGTTTGGTGCCCCTTCTGTACTTTCTGTCTCTGTTTCTGTCTGTCCTCTTCTTTGTGCTTCCCACCTTCCCTCAGCTTCTGTGTAAGTCATAATATTTCGGTTTTCTCCTATTTTTTTTTTTTTAGCTCTTCTTTGATGTAGGCAGCTTCCACTGTGTCCTCGAGCAGGGAACTGCAGACTTAAAATAACATGGATTGTTGTATTGATCCTGATACACTGTAGTTGTAGCAATCCACCTGGAGCATCATCAGTGTAACCTCACGGAACCTGGGTGACTTAGGAGGTTAGAAAGTCTCTGTTGAGCATGTGTGACAGCAGGCTTGCTTGATTAAAAAAAACAACTGAATAGATTTTCATAGGAATAGTTAAATAAATGTATTTAATGTGAGGGCCATCTTCTAATGTTCTCATAGCCTGCTTTAAAGTCACTTATGATGGCATGCGTTCATGCAAAAGAAAAGCCACACACAAGCAATTTTTTTTTTTCTTATACACTTATAGTTCAGCCAAACTATTTTGGAGATCTCAATCTTGAAAGCAACTAAAAATGTTGCTCTCATAATGTTATGTGCCTGGTTGGGTTTATAAGACAGCGTGTTCCTGTCTTTAGCAAAATGTAAAACTAATATTAATTTAAATTCAATATGATACATATTCGCAAGGAGACTCTGAACGTAATAACTGCTTCTCTTTGTAGATACATTTTTCTTTCATCTTAATATTTGAGTGACTGACAAATATCCTGCTGTGATTTTTACTAGATAGAATAAATATAATGCTGTATTTTCTAAAGCTTAAAATTTTTAATGAAAGTTAAATGATTCCTCTACTGGCACCTTGTATTTAGACAGTCAGCCTTACTCTACTCCTTTGCTTTCAGTAGCAACCTGTTTGATTTCATTTTATGTCTCCTTTCTGTTTAAGATTGTGATGAGCTTGCATGGCAAGGTTTGGGTAGCAGGGGGTGCTTATGGGGGTGGCTTCTGTGAGAAGCTGCTAGAAGCTTCCCCCATATCCAATAGACGCAATGTCTGCAGGCTCCATGTTGGACCCACTGCTGGCCAAGGCCAAGCCCATCAGTGACAGTGGTAGCACCTCTGTGATAACGTATTTAAGAAGGAGGAAAAAAACCTGTGCAACTGCGGCTGGTGAGAGGAGTGAGAACATGTGAGAGAAATAGCTCTGCAGACACCAAGGCCAGTGCAGAAGGAGGGGAGGAGGTGCTCCAGGTGCCGGAGCTGAGAGTCCCCTGCAGCCCCTGGTGCAGTCCATGGTGAGGCAGCTGTGCCCCTGCAGCCATGGAGGGGAACGGGGGAGCAGATCCTCCTGCAGCCCAGGGAGGACCCCATGCTGGAGCAGGTGGCTGTGCCCAAAGGAAGCTGTGACCCAGTGGAAAACCCACACTGGAGCAGGCTCCTGGCAGGACCTGTGGCCCCGTGGAGAGAGGAGCCCAGACTGGATCAGGTTTTCTGAGGACTTGTGACCCCATGGAGGACCCACACTGGAGCAGTCTGTTCCTGAAGGACTGCACCCTGCAGAAGGAACCCACGCTGGAGCACTTCATGAAGAACTGTAGCCTGTGGGAAGGACTCATGTTGGAGAAGTTAATGAAGGACTGTCTCCCGTGGGAGAGACCCGTGCTGGAGCAGGGGAAGAGTGTGAGGAGTCCTCCCCGTGAAGAGGAAGGAGAGAGAGAAACATCTGATGTACTGTCCACAATCACTGTTCCCTGTCCTCCTATGTTGCTGGGGGGGAGCAGGTAGAGAAAACTGAGAGTGAAGTTGAGCCTGGGAAGAAGGGAGGGGTAGGGGGAAGGGATTTTAAGATTTAATTTTATTTTCTTGCTATCTTGCTCTGATTTGATGGGTAATAAATTAAACTGAAGTTGCCCAAGTCTGTTTTGCCCGGGATGGTAATGGGCGAGTGGTCTCTTCCTGTACTTATCCCGACCTGTGAGCTTTTCATTGTATTTCCTCTCCTCTGTCCAGCTGCAGAGGGGAGTGATGGAGCGGTTTTGGTGGGCATCTGGCATCCAGCCAAGGTCAACCCACTTCAAAGACCATTTTGAGTTATTTTTTTAAATACCTAAAGCCTGCTTGTCTACATAGAAGACTAAATTGTGCTATAAGCTATATAGAGGTGCTCCCAACCTCCAGCTTAAGTCCATAGAAGCTCTGAGGATGCAAAGGCAGAATATAGGTATAAAGTGCTTGAAATTTAAGCTTAAACATTCCTCATCCTTGTCCTCAATTGCAGAATCTTTTGGCTGAGAAGGTGGAACAGCTGATGGAGTGGAGCTCAAGGCGCTCAGTCATCCGCATGAACGGAGACAAATTCCGAAGATTTGTGAAGGCTCCGCCTCGTAACTACTCTGTGATAGTGATGTTCACCGCAAAACCACAACGGCAGTGCTCTGTTTGCAGGTAATTTATACCTTAGTGGTCTTTTTAATCTTCCTCACTGTAGTTTTCAAGTTAAAGTTTTAATCAATATTCAGTATGTTGAGTATGGTTGTTCTTTGCATGGGATAGATGCTTACTATTCAACAGGCTCATGTGTTTGCTGCAGCATCTTTTCAACTGCCTTTTAATCTGTAAGTCAGATTTTAGAAGTCTTCCTAGTTTTGGGTTTTATTAAATTACAGTTGAGTAAAATGTACACAACTGAGGAAGACTTAAAGAAAACTGCTTTATTTTAGTATCAGTCAGCCATGATCTTTTTAAAAATGTTTTGTGACAGAAATGATTCATTACCATTTAGTAGTATGACACTTCACTATTCAGTTAAGAGATGTCCAAGGCTCTCATGCAGATGTGAGTTACCCTGTGATTTCACAGCTTTTGACAGTTCTTACACGAGTACCTTTTTCCATGAGGACATGCTTATTGTGGAATTCTGTCTGGCACTGCACTTTGATGTTTTCTGGTGGCTCCTTTTAGAAATACGTATTAGAGTAGCACTGGTATTCTTCTAAGTCCAAGATCTTTCTCTGCAAGTTCCTAGTTCAACAAGTTAATCCAAAAATGACTAATGATAGACATGAAAATAAGGCTGAGGGACTGAAAGGTAGTCATGCACTTAATTACCTTACTAAATCAGAAACCAAACTAATAAAACCTTCAGCCAAAATATGCATTAAAATTATTCTGTTTAGTAATAGATGGAATTATTGTGCAGGTAGTTCTAAACAGTATTTAAATTGACAGCAAAACTCTCCATAAAGCTATGAATTAGATAAGCTGTATACAAAGAAATATTATTTCTTGGGTTTGAATTGGTGCACTTTAAACAATACACAAAGTTGGTAAATGTGGCAGCTTGTTGGATTTCTTAGGTGTTGGAATGTGACATTTACAATAGAAACTTTAACTCGTATACCTGTACTCATATACAGTTTTTATTAGTTAGTTTTTTGTCGTGGAGATCAGTTGGTCAGTCTTGAGGGAGAGTATATAAATTGCATACACAAGTTCACTCTCCGTATCTGAACTGTAAAGGTGAAGAGGTACAGAGGTTTTCCAATGTTCTTAAGTCAAAGGACTTTTTTGTTTACAGCTTCCAGCACTTGGTTGCTGTTATTTCTTCTTTGAGTTGCCAGAGTTCAACTTCAGGATATTTAAATTTACCATATTTTTTTAAATCATTCCTTATTTTCCTAGTCAGATAAAACTACAGGAGATGCACTAAGTTCAGCTTTTTAAGGGTCAGTGTATTCATCATTATAATGGCCATAGCAAGTTCTTTCCCTGTGTTATGTACAGCTCATTTGTAGGGCATGTGAAAACGACATAAATATTGCCGTTATTAAGGAAGTTAATTTTGCTTACAACTGTATATTCTTTACTGTACTGAAAAATAGTTTTAAACTTCATCCCATGATATGTGAGGATAGCCATTTATGTACAGAAGCAACTGAAAGTCTTTAAGCATAAAATGAAGAAAAAATCAACATGCTGCTTTCAGTGGGTTTGTTTAAATAAATGTGAAGTTGTGATCCACTTTTTCATGTGAAATAGAAGGAATTTAATGAGGTTGATCATACTACATATAAAACCACTATCAGGAAAATTGACATTTTCAAATCAATGGCTAATTAATGGACAGGAGCGCTGAAAGGGTATACAGAACTGAAAAGCATGCATTACTTTATTGTTAGCTATTTACCAGCCACTTTGCCCAAAGTAAAATTAGATTTTTAACTTAATCTGTAATGTTCTATGAGCATCCTTTTGTCCAAGGTTTAAGTTAACTGTTACTCATCAAAATATTTTCAGAACAATTCCATACAAAAAAAATCAATGTTGTATTTCAAATAGAAAAAAGCGCCTAGACTGAAATCTTTGACTTTGAAAAACTTTGCCACAAGACTTATAACTTTTTTTTTTTCCCCCTAAAACTTGAGCCCAGTTAGTTTATGCATCCCAGCTTTATCTAAAAAAAGTAGCAATGGCAGGTGACCACTTGTGGAGACGAGCTTGTAAACTGCACAAACTGAAAATTGTGCTATTTCAGGTCTGGGTGATGTTTAATGGTGTTTTACTGTGGAAGTAACAAACCTGCTTCCAGATTCTTGGAAAACTGTTTTGCAAAGATACTGTTTATGAAGAAGCTAAAAACAGCTGGTAATGGAGAGGAGTTTGTGTAACCAGTAATTTTCTTCACCACCATGTTGACCAGACTATTGTATTTTTAAAAGTGTCAGAAGTTTCATTATATTGAAAGGAGCACTGATTACACCCATTAGCTGAAGTTGGGTGTCTGTCTATAAATACATATATGTGTGTGTAAGTGTATACTTTATGTATATACTTTATATATATATGTAGGATGTGAGCAAGATGGATCAGTTTTGCAGGAGTGGAACATATTTTCTAAAGACTTCTTTTGTTGCATTTGAGTGACAAGGCTGAATTCTGTCAGAAATTGTTAATCACATCTATTGGAACAAGCTTGTAATTACTACAGAAAGCCTGGTGCAGAAGGAGCTCAAAGCCAACTACTTAAGCTATTCCTTCTGTATTTGTTGCAGGGTTGTGTAACAAAATTCAACATCTAGTTTGTATATTTTTAAGTTTTGAGCTTAATGTATTATGTGTTTCATAAAGTGCTCTGAGTGTAGCTACCTTCTGCTGTTCACTCACAATGTGCAGAAGGAAATGACAAAATATATGAGAGAAGAGATTCCATGTAATTTTATTAACATCTGTCCTATCAATGAGTCCCCTGAGAGGAGGCTTTTAATCTACAAAAGGGAGGAATTCTGTTGGTTTCCCTGTTCAAGAAGATATCTCAGAAAACTGTTTTCAAGTAGCCGATCAAAGAGTAGGTCAACAGCAAAAAGAATTCTGACAGTCAAAGAGGTGTCATCAGCGAGAAGAAACAGGATCCTCAGCCTTTCAGTTTTTGCTGGTTGATCAAGAGTGGGTAGTGAGAAAATCATTGACATGTGTCTCAACTCTACTGAGAGGGAATTATCTTTTGAACTTCTGTTCAAAGAAGGAGCAGGAAATATGGAAGCCGATGTTGAAAGTTCTGCAGTTGCTTTCCCAATGCACTTCAGGATCTTGATAGAAGTATTGATGAGTCCTGTTAAACACAGCAGTAATTTTATACTTGGATCATAAGAGACTCCGTATTCTTCCTGTGGTCACTTTTTTTTTTTTGTACTTTGCAACCTGTGCAAAATATGGTCTCATAGCTTCTTTTCATCTGCAGAATATTGGAAATTTCATGGGATGCTGCAAATAGAATAGCATGGATTTTAGCTTGCTTTTTCCTGTTACAGATATCTAGATTGCATAAACAGTGTAGTTTTCAACTGATGTCCATACTCTCTTCATTTTGTTGTATGTAGTGAATTTTCTGAACACATTTGTAGATCTTTCAGTGCTTTTCATCATGACATTGTGAGTCACCCTAAACAAAAATAAAAGCTAATAAGCATTCTGAACTTATCTTCTTGATGCTGAGAAGAACATAAAATATGCACTTAGCCCCTTCGCTTCATTTTGCGAGAACTGTTCCAAATGAAAAATAAAGGTTGTTTTTGGAGTTAAATTACAGCACTGATCAATTTACCTTAAACAGATGGATAAGAAGGAGTAGGTGACCTGGTAGTGCATTCTTTGCCTACGGTACATTTTTAAGTGTTTTATACGATCCATAGTGTGCCAAAAATGATGCTTTACTGCTTTCTTTGGCAAATAATTCCACAGTCTCTTTTATTCTTTTCCTAATATTCTGTTTGTGTTTTCCTTACTACAATGTTGGACTAATAGAATAAAATTAATCTAATTTAATATAGCTCAAGATATACAAATCTGATTATCTGCCATAGATACCCATATAATTAATCTTTTTGAATAAAACTTTTAATATTTCGTGAGCACCTCTTGTGTAATGGAAGAGATTTTTGTAGAGCATTTGCCTAGCAGCTTACTTTTCAGTATGATGAATTTCCCAGGTAAATCTAATAATATCATTGCCTTTTGATCTGGCCACTCTTTTCTACCAGCTGGTTAATGTTAGTGTTCTTGTTGCTAATTCCTGTGTGGCTGTTATGATGAAATTCTTAAGAGGTGACTCTAGCAGCAATAGCATTTAAATCTCTGTCTATCAAAACAACCTGTCAAACTAATAAGAGCAGTGCTAACATGTTATTATTCTGATGAGTTCATACCAAGTGTAGTTCTACCCTATGCCTTTATAGTGTTTAATATAATTATTATAATAATTTCATATAATTAACATTATTTATTAGAAACAAATGGATAGAATTTATATTAACTCATTACAGAGATAGGTAGATAAGAAGAGACAGAGTTGATATTGCCTAATGTTAATTGGAGGTTGAATTTTTTTTTCAACCAAGCGCTTATGCTTTTTACTATTATTGTGTCTGAAAAGGAGTAACTGATGCTGCAAAAGATTACTAGTGTGATTGTGTCAGCATTGTATCCACTGGAAATTATATAGAGGACGGTAGGATGTTCTTCAGTTCTGTATGTAGTAATCCTGTAACTTTGTGTTCCTGCCCCTCTGTGTTTCGCTGGCTTCGCTATACCCCCAAGAGGTGCTATGAGGATGTATTAAGAAATGCTTTTCTATCTTCAGTTTGAGGATGAAACTGTGCTTTGAATCTCTTGTAGAAAATATTAGACAACCTTTTGCAACCTCATACTTTCTGAAGTATACTTTTTACCTATTCTATTCATTCAAATAGCTCAAAGATGCAAAGTACATGGAGATCAATGGGAACAAGAGTGTTTTCTCAACTAGTGGGGGCATAACTGGAGTGTCTGGATTTCACAGAAATACTGTTTCATCATAAGTGAAAGCTAGACTAAGAAGAATGATGGCATCAAGATGAAGTGATTTTTATCTTATAATAAAAATGGTCCAGTTTTAATATAGCAGGTTTAACAGAACAGTGCTCTACAGATACTAAAGATTTTACAGCATTACTTTGATGTTGTCTGACTGCCCTCTTCAGGCTGACAGTGAATATGTTAGTCTGCTTAATGTTAGTATCTGACTGTAGAAATAATCGATCTAATGCCTAAATCACATTTTTTTAATTAAAAAAAATGCCAACTTTGCCTGTTGAATAAGTGTGTTAAGTAGCAAATTTTACTCAATCAGGTAATAAAAGTGAAAATTGAGTTTTTTTGCGTTTCATAAGATTTGTTCTTTGGGGGTGTAAGAGATGAAAAAATTTCATGTTAACTTATTTTCTTTTATGGTAGTTTTTTTTTGTGTACAATATATTCATTGATACAATACAACTCTGCTGGGGTTGTATGTAGTATATTTCATGCCCAAGGCTGATCTCAGTTATGAGGAAATGGAGAAGATCTTATGACGTCTATGGCCCTGTCATCCTCTTCCCCCTCTTTGCTGTCTCGAAATACAATACGCGTTATGTTGTATTTAGTGCAGATTTTCTCTTGGAACCAATAGATTTTTGCATCTACAGCTTTTAAATAAACAGCATTCTGCACTACCAAACACATGGGACTGGTTTTATAGAAACACTCTTTTGAGAAACGCTGCAGAATAGATTTATTTATACTACTTCTGCATTTTACCACATGCAAAGATAAATTTCCAAGTGGTAGAACCTTGGTTTGGACTCTACAGCAGATATGGTTAATTAGTAATATGGAAACAATTAGCAAAGGACCCTGTGCAAAGCCAAAAGTGCTACAAAGACCCTTTCAAGGGTTTTTGTTTTGTTGGTTTGTTTTTCTCTGAATTGTTCGTTGATGTGGATTTGTCCTGTGGAAGAACCTGTGTTTTTATAGTTCTGTGATTGTGTGTTTAGAGAAGGTCTCTGTGGGTAAGGATCCCAGAGTTCTTCTCCTGGAATTACTTTTTTCCCTTGCCTCTCAGTGCAGACAGGGCAAAGTTATTTGTTTTGATATATTTTTTTCTTTTTTCTTTTAAAGTGAACAAACGAACAAACATAACCCAACCAACCAAAAAACCCTCACCTGAATATAGAGCCACAAGTAAAGCCAAGAGGAGGCTTTCTGACAAATTTGAGTAGTAACAATAGTGATGACAGAAAAGATAATTTAACCGTGTACGTTGAGAAAAATTATCCTTTATCACTTTAAAAAGAAGTTTTATAGAAATAATATTGAGTGTATTATACTACTTACAAGCCTACTGTTCATTTAGTTAGTATAATTTCTCCAGCTTAGTAGTTTCTGTGGCTTCTTCTATGGCTCTGCTGTTTTAGGAAGATTACTGCTGTCACATTTCTGTGTTTTGTTTTTTTCCCTCTAGTTTCAGAATTCCTTATGTGCAGCTCTTTTCAGCAAGTAAATCCTAATCTCATACTCAAGGGCCTTGCATGAATCTGTTAGCAGATTTGCATGACACTTGCCACTCAGGCCACTCTTGTTTTCTGAGACTTTTCAATATGGAAAACATTACTTTTTGTTAACATCGTCTTGAGACGTCTTTGGTATAGTTTGACTTAACACATTTCTGATCTTGGAGAAGGCAAGTTTGAAGCAAAGAATTGCATAACTAGCGGAAGCATTTTTTTAATTGATAAGTATGGGTGTTGAGAATGATACTGCAAGTGTAATTCATCCAACAGCTGCAGCTGGTTATAGAATCTTTTTTTGCCAGTGAACGCCACATGGATATACATTTGTTTCTTTTCCTTAACAGGCAAGCTAATGAAGAATATCAAGTGCTGGCTAATTCATGGCGCTATTCATCTGCTTTTTCAAACAAACTGTTTTTCACAATAGTGGATTATGATGAAGGGGCAGATGTTTTTCAACAGGTAAATGCTGGGTACTATAAAACATTCTTAAGTTTTAGAACTTCATGTTTATTTGCCAAAGATACAAGACAAATTATTTTCCGTGCGTAGACATGTACTTCTGTGTTTAATATGTAAATACTTTCTGGTTATAAACACCAGGCACTGGACATTGGCAAAGACTGATTTTACAAGTAGCCACTTCAAGTATTTTCCCAGTGTAGTGTGTTTGTTTATAGATTACATTATATGTATGCAAATTTTTTTCAACCCATTGTTAATGTCATTTTCTAGAATTAAGTGCAATGCAACTGACATTTGCATCAAAAGATTTCCTTTATTTTGTCTTTAGGAGAAAAATCTCTTAACTAAGCAAGCCTTTTCATTGCTTTTTTGTTACATAATATTCTTTAACTCCAGTAATATTTGTATTAGTCTGGAAGTTCTT